TGATCGGCTAAACAGCTCTGATATTTAGTAGGCTACAGAGAAAGCTATGAAACTGGCACAAATCATCGTCCATTAATTGAATATAGGGGGACAACTTCGAGGACGTCATCTCTTAACTTACTGAGCGTGTGAACTGGCTGAAATGCGTGTGTCTCACAGTGAATGCGTCGGACTTGAGAGCCCTGCTATGTGTAAGTTTTTCAATTAAATTAATCAAGTTTTCATTGCCTAATTGTCAATGTGCTCAAAACTCACTTAGAAATGAAGCACACGCGTGTTTTCTCCGTTGCTTGCGTCAGCCACTATTCTGCTTTTAATGTGGGGACTCCGGGTCGGATTCTGCCCTGTGCGCGCTCCCGAGCCTCTCATTCTACAGCGACAACACGGCAGCTAACGATATGCAGTCCACTGACACCATAAAATAACCGGCTGACAGCAAAACACAGGCTCCACGCAAGGATACAAAATAACAATACATTTTTATGTGCTGAAGCCCATCAGACCAAACGGGTTCAGATGATGTCGAGTAAGAACAAAGTGAGCATTAGTAAAGCTGGAGAAACACGCAGAAAGTCACGTTAGCTCGCCGGCTAACGTCGAGCAGTTGCTAATGTTATTCGGTGCAAAGTTACATCGCTTTCCACATTACTTCACCAACTAACGAGACCCATGTTACTATCCTGTGTACCACTATTAATTTAGCCTGAAAGAAAGGATGTAACGGTAAATAGCAAATTTAGAGCGATTTGTTCACTAACGTTAGCCTATAGTGATGCAGCCAGGAGCACCCAGCTAACGCTACAGTAGCTCGGACCTGCCGCTGTTTGTTTTGTAACGTTCAGTTTAGGGTTATTGTGGTAAAACCAATACTCTGGTACACAGCTTCTCCACCTCTCTGTCGCCGTAACTAACGTGACCCACATAATACAATACTGCAACTTCACAGCGACAACAACCCAGAGGAAGAGCCATCCACTAACACTACAGTAAAGTTACTTACTATGTCTTATTATAAAATGTGACACAATCTCGTTACAATATTCAGTCCAGCTCACTACCCGTTTAGTTATCATCCAATACATTTAGCTGTGCTGACATTGCTGAGCCTCTGGTGAAAGATACACAGATAGTAAAGTTAATTACTGAAAGCAGCAGGCGAGCTAACGCTGTAGCACGTCGGCTAAATGCAGTAAATGTACCGTGATCATGTAACGAGCATGGATTAGTTCAACCTGCATCTGATAAAACTATTACTGTAACGTTGCAGTAGGGGTTTACCTGAGTTTCCAGTATATTGTGTGAAGCTATTTCCCTGCTGTTACTCTTTTTTCCAGGAGGATTGTGCCGATATGCGGCTGGCTGCGCTGAATGAAGTAACGTTACGGAGCCGGTGTTGAGCTGCCTCTAAGAAGGGAACGTTGAAGTAACAGAACATGAACAGGTCTGAGTGAAAAGCCACAGCCGGCATGCTGGTGTTCCTGCGTTTATTGTAGGATTTCTGTATGAAAGTGATTGCGTTTCGGTTTATGCTCGCTTATGACTTCAAGCGAGCACGCATACAAGCACACGCCTGGTAGCAGCACACGCTGGAAACTCCATAATGCCCCTTTAAGAAAAAATAAATATACATTATAGGTGAAACAATAAGTTGATAAATCATTTAGACAGTTGAGAGAAAATTAACAATATTGATATTATACTAAATGTAACCAAACATTTTTCTTTTTCCAGCTTGTGATTACAAGCCATGATGAGATGATTAACAAGTCAAGAAAGATGACAAAACACATCTGTTACATAAAGTTTGCTTATGAGACTTGACTTTTCTCTTTATTTATTTTATTATTTAATTTATTCGAATAGCCATGGGGGGGGGGGTCACTCTGTTCGTGCCCCTTTGATGAGGGGTCACGAGTTAAAGGTTCAGTGTGTAAGTTCTAGTGACGAGGGTTGCGAATTGCCTCTCTTACCCAAGCAAGCAGTATTGCTACGGTGCCTGACTGTGCGAACAGACCAAACGCGAATTTTCGTCTTGCGACTCTTTCCTCCCGTGAGTACATTCGCTGTAAGTGAACACAACTTGCCATTACTACAGCTGTATGAAGCCAAAGTAAACACTTTGTTGTGATTAAATAGCAATAAACGGATCAAACTGATGCTGAAATAACTACAATATGATGCAGTTTTGCATTATGAATTCATGCTTTGTCGTCAGGTCTGTCAGCAAGACAACAGGACAACTTCTAAAATGTTTGTTTTCTGAATGGAGTTCGGATGGGGGGGCTATGCTATGCTAACTTGGTCACAGTAAAGTACAACAATAGCTGGAATAAAGTTACATTCACATATTTTCTGAACTCACCAGGTAGTTCAACCTCCTCGCTTTCTTCAAGTCAAGAAATGAGGTTTCTTTTAGATATATTAAGAAAGTATTTAAATTATGTAAATTTTTTTGAATATTGTACTTTTTCATTAATAAACAACAGCCACATGAAGAAATGAAGTGCTACATGATGTCTCATACTCCTGTAATACATTTTACATCTTGGGAGGGTTGGCTCATCTGGACAAACCATCTCAACATACCAAAGTAAATGAAGAAATTCTCAAACTATCACATCTAGTGCATCAAGTATGACCACTGACAGATACCAGGACAATGTAAGCCTCACTGTTTCTGCACCACAGCCTATTATAAACCACATAATACATGACGTTTACAAAGGCATTGGCCGGGGAGGGTCAAGGCTCCTCTCCCTTTGCTTAATTAGATAAGCATGCAAATATTACCAAAATGTGTTTTAAATTTTTTGAAATACAACACAAACACAAAGTAGAACTGACAGCCATAATTTCAGCTTGTGGTAAAACGGTGCAACGTTTTTAATGGGCATTTAGCATGTGAAAGTACAAATTACATATTTGTGTGCACAGTGGGAAGTAGGGCTTCTACTAACCACTATTTTGATTGTCGATTAATCTATGGATTACTGAAACGAATAATCGACTATTCGGATTATGAATTGCAAAATTACAATGCGTTTTATTTAGCTTTTAAGTTAAACTTGAGGTTGTTTTAGGCATGTGCTAATTAACAGTCACGACAATAAAATAAATACTGCTCTCAAAAACGCATCTTTTAATGAATGTTTCTGCAGCAACAGAAAGCTTCTCTGAAATCAAATCCTAATCTCAGCAGCTGATCTGCTGTTTAGTACCTGAGCAGTTTACATGCCAGTACTACAACACACTGGGACAAACCCACCACCATATACAAAGAAAGGAATAACGTCATGCATTACATTTGCCGAATTTACAGGGGGGTCAATAATTATTATAATAATTATTAACAATTTTATAGTAGACAGCGTTTCACAACGTTTATATATTTTCCCCTAACTCAACAACTCACAAAACAGATTTTTTAAGGGAGTTTGGGGCAGATTAGCCGCCGCCTCACGCATTGACAGGAGAACTGTTTTCTCTTCTTTAGAAAGTATGAAATTGTCCGGTGTTGTCTAATCTTGCGCACTCGGCAGCAACACGTTCTCTAGCTGGGAATGTCGCCATGAGTGATGCATCGTTTGATTGTAAAGTCAGGGCACATCTGGAATGTGAACGCGGCCTTTGTGTATCATAAATGTGCTACTCTCAGCACCATTATCAAATTGTCCAAGGTAAACTGTATAGAAAACGTTTAACGGCTTTAATGGGAAGCTAGCTTGCTAACTAGCTTACCGAGACGAGTCTTCATCATCCACAGAGCATCAACGTTATGCGCCTCCTCTTCAGATGCTCCGGTGTTTCCATGAAAGCTCAGCTTTGCAGACGCTGAAGTTAACCTTTTTGCTGAGTGAAGAGCTGCCACACTCTGGGGGTTGTAGGTGCTGAAGGTGTTACTGCATTGCTGATGTTTTAGTAACTTTACTGTTCACATCACTTTATTACGTTAAGGTGACCGTGTCGTTACGCCCTGATGACATCGTGAACGAATCGAATAATCGATTTGTCGACTATGTTGATTAGTTGTTGCACCCCTAGTGGGAAGCAATATCCAATAATTTTTTTTAATGCAAATTCGGAAAGTATTATTAGTCACTTGATAGGCACATGGTCTTGTTATATATCACCATTAGCAGTAAAAAGAAATACATGTTATCCACCAGGGCAGTCAAATGTGAAGTTTAGCTGCTGATCCGAGCTTCCCTGCTGTTACCGTTTCATTACCAATAATATTCAGCTGTTTGAGAGAGACTACATGAAATTAATCCAACTAACATGACACCACAAGCCAAAGCACAGCACTGGAGAATAAACCAAACCACTGATGCTTCCATGCTCTAAGCTAAACAGTTTTTTTTGCCAATTAATGTTACTGATCAGCTGATTGTCTTGCTAAGGTAACCAGCAAAGCCAAACCACAGGCTGGAGAATAAGTAGGCAACATGAAATTAATCCATATTTCATACCACTGACAGGGGAACATGTCATGGCTCTCTTTGATTATGGCCAGCTAAATCTATCAAACAGCTTTCTTTTGCATTGTTAAGTCTGACAAACTTATTTACCTGTCCAGCAGAAAACAGACTACTTCAGCACCGCTTTGAAAACATCTGTCCCACATTAACGTTATAACCTTCCATCTGGGAAAATCCACAAAATCCATGATTTCTGCCATCAGCTGTTTGTCCTGGCTCTGTCTGGCTGTTGGCTCTCCTGCTAAATGACACGTTCACCTTCATTTGTCCAAATGTCATTTCTCTACTTCTAATAAACCAGAAGACTACTCGGAGACTGTATATTACTATTCTATTATTCCCTCTTCTTCGTACGTATTCAATGTGGTGACGGGAGTCTACACTACCGGAATTATACAAGCAGAATAATGCCGTGATGACGAAACGCGCTCTGTAGCGCTGTTTGTTCGTTGACAGCTACGGTACAAACAACAAAATACAGTGACCTTGTCAGGTTTCAGGCAGAGAAGACCCAGACGCGGATCTGAGTTAGACTGTTTATTCAAAGAAAATCAGCAAGGGAAGTCTGAGATCTCAGGGCTAGGGCTCTCTCCAGGTCCGGGGTGTAGGGAAATCCATAAGCTGGGAAGTGTCCAGGCTGTGGGTGGAACTGAGGCTAACAGGCAGGTGGTTGCTGAGGTGGTGGGAGTCTTCTGGGAGAGAGAAACAAAGGTTAACCAGATGCAACAAATAAGGTGCCGGGTGGAGCCTTACTGGGGCCAGGGTCTTCACGGAGAGCCTCTCTTTCGATGCTCCAAGAGACAGCTCCAGTGATGCACGAGTCAGGCAAGATGGTGTCCAAGACTGGAGTCGCACTGTCCTTCCCCTTTAAAGGCTCTGGAAAGGGTGTCGGTTTGGTGTTTCGGGAGCCGGGTCTGTAAGTTAGAGAAAAGTTAAAGCGTCCAAAAAACAGCGCCCACCTGTCCTGACGAGAGTTTAGTTGTCTGGCAGATCTGATGTACTCAAGGTTCTTGTGATCGGTCCAGACAAATGGATGTTCGGCCCCCCTCCAGCCAGTGGCGCCACTCTTCCAGGGCTGACTTCACTGCCAGCAGCTCCCTATTACCAACATCGTAGTTGTGTTCCGAGGGGAAGAAGCGGCGGGAGAGGAAGGCACAGGGGTGGAGCTTGCCGTCCTCAGCAGAATGCTGGGAGAGAACCGCTCCCAACCCAACGTCCGAGGCGTCAGATGCCGAGATGGGTCAGGTTGGACCAGGATGGGGGCTGAGGAGAAACGGGACTTGAGCTCCACAAAGGCACTGGCCTCTGGGGTCCAGGAGAAAGGTCTGCTGGAGGAAGTGAGAGGTTAGAGGCGCAGCCACATGGCTATAGTTCTGGATAAATCTTCGGTAAGTTAGCAAACCCAAGGAACCTCTGGAGCCGTTTCCTGGTAGTCAAAGGGGCGGTGGAGGGGCAAGGACAGGGCTTGTTTGCTGAACACATCTCTGAGATCGTGGTAAACCGGAGGAATGTGAGCCAAGTCAGGAGTAATGGCAGAGGGGCTAGGGGCAGGGACTGGCTGCGGTGAGGCTGACCTAAGACACTCTGAGTGGCAGGTGGAACTCCAGCTAGTGACCTTGGCAGTGGACCAATCAATAATGGGGTTGTGTTTAACTAACCAGGGGTACCCAAGAATCAGCAGAGTGTGAGGGAAGTCAATGATGTACAGGCTAATCTGCTCATGATGGTTACTGGAGAGCTGGAGCTGCAGAGGAGAGGTTCTGGAGGTTACCCGTCCAAAGGTCTGCCATCTAGGGCATTAACCACCAGGGGTTCTTGGAGGGGAATGGTGGTTAGGCCCGAGTGTTTGGTGACCGTTCCGTCCAGAAAGCTATCAGCTCCTGAATCAACAAATGCTTGCAAAGCGTTTGACTGACCTTCGTGAGAGATGGTGTCCTGAAGGTAAGTGCGTCGGCGAGGGGATGATGGAGCGGTTGTTCGGCTCGCTAGGGCGCGCCCTAGCTCTAGCGAGCCCACCCATTTGACGGTCTCTTGGAGCAGGTGGCCAGGTGATGTCCGGGCTGGCTGCAATACAGGCAGCAGTTGGTTTTACGACGATGCTGGCGCTCTTCGGGGCTCAGCTGGGAACGGCCCAGTTGCATGGGCTCCATCTCCGGAGAGAGTTCTCTGCGGTCGTTTCCCTGTGATGGGCGGACAGATGTTACTGGCTGAGGTGGTGAGAATGAGCTTACTGTCCTAGAGTGGTGTGGGGCTCGGGATCGAGGGCTGTTAGTGGTCTCAGTTAGCCGTCTCTCTCCCCTATGCTCCCAGCAGCGATTATCTATGCTAATAGACAGGGAAATCAGCTCATCTAGATTAGAACTCAGGATAGGAAACAAGTTCATCCTTTAACTGTTCTGTCAGACCATTGGCGAAAACAGAAGTTAAAGCCTCATTCCAGCCACTTTCCATAGCCAGGGTCCGGAATTCGACAGCATATTCCGCCACGCTGCGGCTCCCCGGCGCAGGTGTAGCAGTCTCTGGGATGCCTGATTACCTCTCACTGGGTGGTCGAAAACCTTCCGCATCTCGTTCGTGAAGGTGACATAAGTGTCTGATTGCCGAGCGTCTCCCCCATGCAGCAGTTGCCCACTCGCCCCGGAGAAGCCCGATCAGGTAGGTGATCTTAGATGCTTCTGTGGAGTAGGTCCTGGACTGCCGAGGAAAAACGAGATCACACTGAAGCAAAAAGGCACGTCACTGACCCAGATTCCCATCGTACCTTTCTGGTGCGGGGACCCAAGGTTCCCGGTCGGGTTGGTTGGGAGTGGCGGTTGCAGCAGGGAGAGATGCGGGGCTCGCGGAGGCTTCGGCAGTAGGGGAAAGAAGCTGTTGCTGGAGAGCGGTGACGGAGGTGGTGAGGCCGCAGAGAACATCAGTAACCTCTCTTAAAGCTCTAGCTTGTTGACCGAGAACTCCTTCCTGATGAGTTATGGCCTGACTAAGGTTTCTGAGATCCGCTGGGTCTGCCAGGCAGAGAAGACCCAAACACGGATCTGAGTTAGACAGTTTATTCAAAGAAAATCAGCAAGGGAAGTCTGAGATCTCAGGGCTAGGGCTCTCTCCAGGTCCGGGGTGTAGGGAAATCCGTGAGCTGGGAAGTGTCCAGGCTGTGGGCGGAACCGAGGCCAACAGGCAGGTGGTTGCTGAGGCAGTGGGAGTCTTCTGGGAGAGAGAGAAACAAAGGTTAACCAGATGCAACAATTCAAAAGGTTCTAGGCTAGTCAAAGGTTGGCTGGGGTTGACATGACATACGTGCGGAGATCAAACAATCCGGCAGGGACTGGATGTCTGAGCCTCTCCTTTAAGCAGCGGTGATTGAGGAGTGCAGGTCAGGTGTGCTAATTGCAGATGGGACTCAGGTGAGTGCGGAGCCCGCAGCAGACACGCCCCCAGCTCCCAGACTGGAGAGAGAGAGAAGAAGAGCCAAGCAGAGACAAACAAACGACACGCTCACCACACGCACACCAGACAGACTTCCACAACAATCACAGGCTCACAGCCGGGGCCTCGTGACAGACCTCCACAGCAGGGGGTGCCCGCGGTTATGTAGATATAAATGTCTCATTCTAAGGTAATAAAAATATAATGGTTCATTTTGTAAGGGGTTTATACACCACTGAAAACATAGTTATGGATATATATTGCATTTCTGTCAACAGAGCATCAGAAATATTACACACTGGACCTTTAACTAACTAATTTTAAACAGTCACAAGCTACATGGTTTGGGAAACACTGCTGTAGATCTTGAAATATTAGAAGGAATAGATAGGGCAATAGACAAAGAGTTATTAGGCTATAAATAAGACACTTAAAGATGCTCACCACCCCAACCCCCCTACAACTTAAAGGCCCATATCAGTGTTTTGTTTTTTTGCTACTTCAGGTTCATAACTACAAATCATGTAGGCTATACATTTGAATGCATGCTATTCAGTTTTAGATGTGTTTTTCTAGGCAGCTCTTTGTTTCAATTCTATTCTGTACGGTGTGAGATCCAGTAGAAATGAATCAAAAACGAGTCATGAGTCTGTATTAAATTACACATTATGTTTGCAAGGTAATGTACGGTCAAAGCGCTGCACTATGATATCTCCCGACAATAATGTGTCACAAATAAATGCAGACTTGATGTCCACAGTGATGGATTACACAACTCAAGACACAGCTAATAGATACTGTACGGAAATTAGTTGCAACTAGATCCGTACACATGTACATAATCAATCATGGTTCTCTCAAAACAGAAAAGCATGTTTTTGCAAAATGGCACATAAAGGAGACTTTTATTTATCCAAATGGGCCAATTCGTGGTTATCAGACAAGACCTCCATGTCCTGATTTGCTCTGAAGTTTAGTGCTGTCTACTTCTGTGTATCTGCCTTTAGCCAAATAAATTTATTTTTGGTATAAAGTCTGGAAATAGTGCTCTTTTAGCCTCAGGGGCCCATTAAACAAACAAGTGACTGCTTTCAATGGCGTCCTGAGTTTAACTGAAAATACACACCGTGGCATCTCTATCCGCTCTGGAGTCGTCGCTGACATCCGTCTGTAGGCTGCCAGACAGACAGTCCCCCCCACACACACATCTACCCCCACCCCTATTTGGTGGTGGCGCCTGCCTGTAGTCCGTATCCGGGTTGGACGAGGCAGCCGGAAGCTCGGCGCTCTGCTCGAACAAACTCCTTTACCCAGACGCCCCCGCGACGCCTCAACTTGCAGAACTGGCTTCTTGGGCTTCAGGAGTGTTTCCCATTTAAACAAACAGTGCCGAAGATGGCGGAGAGTTAATGGTGTAAAGAAGAAATTATCGATCCGGTAGAGAGATACGTCTATAAGGTAAGCTCGTGCTGCGCGTTTGCCATCATTCAGACAATTTAACCCGACTTTGCATTTGGTTTGCATTTCGCCAGAGGACGGAAATGTAACGTTACTGACTTTGGGTTCCCCAGCGGTGGTGCACACACAATATTGGCATCGGTACGGTGCGGAGGGCACAGTGCATGGTCATTTAGTACATGACAGCAAAGATTTACAAACCTAATGACTGTGATGAAGTGCATGCGATGTGTCATTTATTCGTCTGCCAGCCTGTGTTGCAAAACGAATGAATGAATGCCTGGTATATTTGGTAAACTTAACTTGATCACGCAAGCTGGCCAGTTTACGCACAAGCTGGTGGATCATCACAGAATTGTTTCCAACAGAGACATTGTCAAGTTTTTGGATGGGACAGAGAGAGCACACACACTTTAACACTCGAGTATTCATGCTTAAACACACAGAAACAGGGTGATAATGAGGTAAATTCCCTCGGACTGTCAGCGACATTCGGTCGAGAAACTGTACTGAACAGCTGAGTCTGACGCTGTCGCAACATGAGAGAAATTTGGACCGAAATGTTTGTTGATTATGTGCATGCAGTCATACACAATTGTGTGTCATATCCATCGTGTTAGAACGAGGCTTTACTGGTGTATTCTGCTGGTTCCGTTACTACAAACATGCGATGCGGGAAGAGGCAGACGATGCTGACTGTCAGTCAGTCAACCAGCCTGTCAGCTTGCTCTGGGTCCCGATTACTGAGCGATATAGAAAAAAGTGACTGACTTGCACACTGGAGACGTATACTATAGTAGTAGTCAATGCACTGAATAGGGCATGCATTGCCTATAAATGTGTGAGGGGAAAGAGTGAATGGTCGCTATGCTTCTGTTTTCCCTCTAAAGTCTCCTTTATAACCCCTCCTGTCATCTGCTTCACTCTTAATTATGTGTCTCACTGTACATCTGCAGGGGGCAGCAACGTGGCCCTGTGCATACACTGTCCTGTAACCCTGAAGGTCCGTGGTTTGATCCCTGAAACTGCCAGCGTGTATGTGTGTCCTACATGAAAAGCACCACGTCCTTGAGCATGACACCAGAGCCCTACTATAATACCATTGGGAAAAAAACTGTGTGTGTGTGTGTGTGTGTAAACAGTAGTTGAATGGAGGTAAATCAGATATGCAGATGGTTTATGTGTCAGTGTAGACAAGTGAGGGATGTCAGGTTGAGGTGATTTACACTAAGGCCAATGTAATGTTAAATTTAGGTGTGACTTATGCAACTAATGATTATTTTCATAGCAGATTATTCTGTCAGTCATCAAATTTCTTGTTTTGTCTGACAAGCAGTCCAGAACCCAAATATTGAAAATGCTCATACCGGAGAAGCAGTAATCAGAGAATGGTTTGAGATTTTATTGAATTACAATCATGAACTTTTCTTATGAAAGGTTTACACTCAAAAAGTCAAAATGGTAAGTGTTACTGAACTGAATTTACTGAGTAAAGAACGTGTAGTATGAGGTATTTTTTCTTGCCTATTAAGTGTATTATTCTGTTCTGTTTTGTATGCATTCCTATTTATTTAGCCTCACTGTTTGCGTTTATCAACTCTTGAGAGAGGATTTAACGAGATGCTACTGCTTTTTTAAGGGATTAAACGATGAATCGGTAATCAAAATTGCTTGCGATTACTTGTCTGTTGATACACTTAATTTAGTTGATAGTCCTTTAATTGACTAATCGTTTCAGCTTGTGGTTGAAGTCCAAAGTGGAGGGGTGTGGCAACAAGAAGCCCTTGTCTCGTTCCATGGCAACCCTCTCTTGACAGATTTACAGTCAACTCTGTGGAGACACGTGCAGACACACACACGCCTGCAACCTGCTTACAAGGAAATCAAATGCACTGGGTGGGGTGCGAGCAAGCTGCTCGGACTCATAGGCACCCATGAGCAGATGAATACGTGGACGAGGACAGTGATGCATGATGTTTGCTGAATGGGGGGAAAATGGGGACAGAGGTTAGCAGGGGTTGCTGTTGACTGGGTCAGGAGCTGGGGGCAGGGCTCACGAGGATGAGCTGGAGGGAGGCACGACCTCTCACGCCAACCCAGGAGTATGGGAAGCTCTGTGTGGAGGATGGGGGTAGTATCGTAAGGGGATGGGCTCAGGTGGGCCCTCTTGCTGGTATTCTGTCTGGCTTTATGTGTGTTTTGGGTTTTGGGTTTTTCCTGGTCTTTTGTTTGTGACATTTCTGCACTTCTTGACTGTGCTCGGTTTGTGGAGTCAGGAAGGTTTCTGACGGACAACATTCTTTGCTGTGCTCTCTCTTCTCCCTGTGGTATGTCTCTCGCTGTCCCCTGCCTCCCCCAACTGCAGTGTAGTGTAGTGAGCTGAACTGTTGTCCTGTTGTTGTTGGGGGCCCCTCTTCCATGTGTCAGGACGTGTTAAACAGGAATTAATCTTCACCAGCTCTCATTGATTTTGCTCTGTGGAGGAAGGGTCTTTTTTTTTTTTTTTTTTTTGGTCACTCATTTTTTGTCTTCTTGTCCTGTTACTCTGGCATCTCCAGTCCAGCGGTAGACAAGGGCAGGATATCTTTTAATACTTTGTCAATATCGTATATGGGTTTCGATACCTATAGCTAAACAATATTTTTTTCCAATACCTCACTTGTAGGAATAGAAACATGATTTTCTAGTTTGTCTAAAAAGTATGGCGAGGGGAAAAGTAAGCTCAGACTTTTATTTTGTTCTGCTTAGCTTACATACTTTTTGTATTTTACAGTAGACTATATATTTGACTAGGGATGCACCGAAATGAAAATTCTTGGCCAAAGCCAAAACTGAATATAATGAAAAAATTGCCAAACACCAAACAAGTACATTCACATTTTTTCCATTTATTTTTTCATTTTTTTTACCATTGCATAAATTAAATAGTCAAAATGTGCTCTTTACTCATTGTTTCCCATGTGGAGAGAACATGGTGGGTGGGTCCAAGGCCCAAGGGGTAAAGTCCGGTATAGTAAATTACATGTGTCCATTTACTTTTAATGGACACATGTAATATGTGTTATGCTTTCTGTGAATATAATCTAATTAATCTTATTTCCATCCTGTATAGACACATTATTTTGAAAACCGGATGTTGTCATGTGTATCCTTGTGCTATTCATCAAGTCCGACCCAATTTGATAAATAATGTTGTATGTGGTTCTCGTATCGCGTATCATGAAGACTTCACAGCATCTCTTCTTCTATCTTTATACTGCAGCACTTGTCTTTGTAAAGAGAGAAAATGACAGGATAAAGTCGCTAACCTGCCTGTCAGCTCACACCGGTCCTTTTCTGTGGATTTGCCATAAAGGCGTGAATACGTATGCACTCCAAATTTAGGTGTGGTTAGCTTAATCGACTTCACACAAACCCAAGTAACAGAAACACTCAAAGCGGGTCAGACCATTTGTTGCCTTTTCTATAAAGTCAGCAACAGATGGTGTGGATGTGCTAGGAGACAATCCAGCAGAACAGTGTCTGCAAATGGAGATTTCTCAGACACTTTAAAATGCTTCCACACTGCCGACATGTCAACGTAATTGTTCAGTAAAATTTATTCGATCTTTAGACATATTGGGCCGAACACCGAATGTGTATTTTTTTGCTATTTTCGCCCGATTAATTTTGGTGGCCGAACATTTGGCTTACAAGACAAAATGCTTCTAGGATGAGGATTATTCGATGTGGTTGGCAAATGTAACAACAACTCAGGTAATGCTGGCTGGGTGTGCTGGGTTGTAAACTTCTCCAAATCCAATAAAGAGCAGGACAAAGCTGCTAACGTTAGCTCTGATAACATTAGGGACCAGCTTCCACACAGTGGCTGTGCCAGTTGAACGGGGATTTTTCTGACATAACCTGCAACATTACAAACCAGTGTAGTTAGTTAAAGATGTGTTCCTTGTCCTTGGAAGTAACTCTTGGTCATTAAATTGGCTTACGTTAAACACTGTTTGATCCATTCCTTACTCTTTTGCTCTCTATGTACAGTGTTTCGGCATTGTGGAGAAATCCAATGCTTGAAAGCCTTATTTATGTTTTCTGAGGTATGACTGGACAATCACTGTTCAAGGAAGGGGTTTACTGAACGGTCGAGACCAACTTTTGGTACCACATTTTTGATAGTTCCACAGACACATTTCGGCCAATACCAAAGAAGCATTAAGGATCATTTTCTCCTACCTCTATAATGCTGGTTTCACACACAACGCGATTTTTAAATTTGCATCGATTTCATCTCGTGAGTTTCACCGCTGGAATACTTGCACGAGTGTTTGCACACAACGTGACAATGCGAATAAAAACAACACACCAATATTACAGCTGTATGAAAAAAAACAAAAACATTTTGGAATAAACGGATCAAGCCGATGCCAATATAACTACGTTATGATGCTGATTTGTTAATTAATGCTTTGTTAGGTCTGTCAGCCAGATTACAAGCTTACAACTTTTAAAATGCTTGTTTTCCGAAAGGAGTGCGAGTCGATCAGAGCTATGCTATGCTAACTGATTTCAGTGTAAAGGACAATGATAACTGGAATCCAGTAATAGACAAATATTTTTTTGTTGTCCCACAGAGCTCTGGCAGCTACAATAACAGTGGGGCCAGAAACATGCCAGCTCGCTCCTGTGAAGCGCAAGTGAAGATAAATCAATGTTTAAATCACTAAAAAATACAAATAAAAAGTAAATTTAATAAAAGCAGTTAACTCTGAGCTCCACCCGCCGGTAAACTACTCCGTTATCAGAGCAGAATCCAGTCAGACTGTGGGTGGGGTTTTTTTGTCCAAAGCTCCCGCGCTGCCAACGGCTCTCTCCTCCAGAGCTCCTGTAGCTCAGCAGCTCCCTGTCCTCTACACACCACACTCTGAAAAACTGTTGGTGATGTCCGGACTGTCTGGACGCTGATAGGCTATCGTGACACAACATCACGTGACTTTTACGCTCAAGTT